AGAGAGAGAGAGAGAGAGAGAGAAGAGAAGCTATCCGGCGATAGTTTGGAAAAGCTTCGAAACACCGTTACGACGAACCCGTCCATTCTGTAAAAATCCGCGGCGAACCGACGTTCGACACCACGCCTATCGGAACGAGTCGAAATTTACATGAGAAAACAACTCGTTGCAACGAAAACAACATCGCTGGAACGGCGACGTTCAATATATGTATATATAGACGGTGTGATATCCCATTTTTTCGAAAGAGTGGAACACAGTTTCTCAGTTTCGGGAAGACGAAAATCTCTCTTTTCTCGCGAACCCCCACGGCGTATCCTCGTTCGTAGCGTCCATTGGAAAGCGAGCCCTGTTTTCGAGGAGTGGTTCGAGTCGGTATTTAGTTGAGGCTCGGACGACAAAATCGAGGTGTCGCGTCGGTTCTCGGGCTAAGCCTCCGCCAGACGATGCTGTAATCCCTTAATACCTTCGTATCCCCCGAGCTCTTTCCATGCCGCGTGTAATACGGGGGAAGATTGTAACGATCGTCGGTCCGTAGTCGAGAAAAATGGCGGCATCACGCGATGCACAGCACGATAAATAATCGATATTTTATGCGACAAATGTTCACCTTACGGAACAGGGCGCCTCTCGCACTTACTTAAGAAGGATGCATTCGGGAAAGTTATTGAAAATTGATACCGGTCGAGGGAAAATTTGAAACCGGTTTCTAACGACTCCGGCCGAGTGGAAGCGCTCCTCTTCTCGGGAGCGGAATTTTCGACTATTTGTTTATCTTTCTGGTCGCGCTATTCTCGGTATCCGCGCGTTTCTTCGTTTCCGAACGAGTTTCGGAGGAAAGGCTGCCCTCCCTCCCCTTTTACCTTCGCGGCGCGGCTAAATTCGTTATCTTGGAGGATAATTTTGGCTCGCGAGATATCGCAGCATCGATTCGAAAAGCCGACCGATCCCTCTCCTCGAGGGACGATTCATTGTAATTCGTTCCGCGGCTCGCCGGAAAGAAACACGATACTCTTTCGAGGAAAGTGTGCGACAAGGATAATTAAACAATTGTCCACGTTCCATTCCTGTAAATTATGCCGTCACGCGGCTGCGTTTAAAATTCTTCCCCGGCCTCTTTTATTTCCCTTCGATTTGTCTCGAAGGGAGATCGAATCCAACCGTGTATATATCGAATAATAATAATTCGTTAAAAGCATACGTCCTCGTAAAATCATTTTCCATTTATGTGTTTACATCGTATTTCGGTATATGCGTTTCCATTAACGGAAAACTGCCAAGTTTAATTTCGAGAGAGAGAGAGAATAACGAAGTAACGAAGTAAACTTTCCGTCTTCGATTTAATACCGTTCGACTAACTTTCCAATTCCCTCCGTTCCCCGAGCATAATTGAAAAATTAAAGAATTGCGTTTCCCTCCCGATCTCGATCTCGAGGAATTCTAAGCGAGAGCTCAGGTGGAAAAGGATCGCGACGACTTTGACGCGCTGGTTGCGCGGATTAACGCCCACGCGAACGTTAATTGGAGCGAGGGGAGGGGTGGAAACGATGTCGGAGAATCTGTCGCGAGAACAATGGGGCCAGTGTGGCTGGAAGTCGGTTGAAATTACTACGCGAGACTTGTTTCCCGATTGTGTTGCCCGATTAGGAGAGTAGCGCGCGTGTTACCGCGAACGAGTAGCGTTCCGCCACGTCGGCTTCGTGGAAAACGAACGCGCAAGGTGCCGCCACTATTTTCGAGGAGAAATGTTTGAAAGGAGCTGAGTTTTGCCGATGGATCGAGTTGTCTTAATCTTTTCTGTCCATCCCGCGAATATATCCTTTCGAATATGAAAATTCTTCGTGTTTCGTTCCCTCGTTATTTTATCCGAAAATATAGAAAATTTAGAATTGATTATAGGAAAAGAAAAAGAAATGTATTCGATTCGTTTCTTCGATAAAAGGCCAAATTGTGCTTTTGAAATGCGAAACATTGGAGCGAAGTTACGAGGGAACTCTTTTCTATTCGTGAAGGAATCTCACGATCAACGGAACGTATTTACTTTTTTCCACTCCTTAGCAGTAAGTAAGGATCAAAGCTTGGAATGCAAAAGCGAGTGAACGTTTGCAGGGAGCAGCTGAAATTACATTTTATGCGAAAGATGTAGCTCGATCGCGTGACGAGGAGCGATCGAGGACAGGGCGCGGCGATACGATTACTTCCTGCTAACCACTCCTGACTCCCGTCGCACCATTAACGAATGAACTCGAAACGGAACCGTCGAATTACATTCCGTTTATTACCGCAATTTTTGCATTATAAGCTACTCGCTGTAAACCATATTTCATCGTGATCATCGTTTTTTCATTTGTTCGCCAAATACTTCAAATTTTGTCTCGATGAATTGAAAACTTCGAGTTCGACTCGAAAGTATCGAGAACAAGTTGTTTACACTTTGGCATTAAGCTTCGACTCGCTGTACACCAAATTTCATCA